GTCAATTATATTTTAAGGAGAACACTGAAAAATGTTTAAGAACTCTATCTCGATAATAAAATATGAGAATATTAAATGAGAACATGCTAAATTGCAAATATGATGCATACTAGTCATATGATACATGTACTTCAAATTAAAAATAAAGTTGAATATGTTTTATATATTTGAATAGTTTTACTACATAACAAGTGTGCGTGGACTTTCTTGTAAAAGAACATCCTTTATCTTATCAAAATCTTCAGAAATGTACTTCTATTAAATTATTGTCTTCCCGCACTCTAATTCGCCGAAATTTTCCGTATGCAGTAACCTTAACTACATGGCCTCTTGTTAAAACTTCGGTCATCGCACAGCTCAAATGCGAGGGAGAAAACCGTGATGAAAGAATGTAAACAAACGTGCACTGGGAGGTAAATAGTAATAATTTATGCTTAAAAAACAAGTTAAATATAACAATCAGTTAACAACTGGTATGGAAAAGTTTAACTTTTCAAATGGGAACGCATGGAAAATATAAAAAAAATGAAACATTGCTCTATCAATTCTCTAATTTTTCACGTGCTCCACGATTCTGTGTTGATTATTTACCAATGCCACTATCCGATGCACTACGGCAACAAACTCGAGAGCTAGTATTATTTGATATGTTATAGATTCATAATAAATGTAAAAAGGGTGCATAGAAGACTTTAGTTTGAAATATATACATGCATTGGTTTAATGATTTCATTAAGATTACAAGAAAATGTTTTCATATGACTTTAAAGGTTTTCTTTTTCCTTAAAGATTTTTTTAGTATAGAAAACAAGAAGAAAAAGCCTTTCAGTATACATTTAAACCCTTTTCGTTTTATTTAGAAACTCCAATACATATGTCTTATCACATTAGTACGCCAAACATATCGTGTAGTGTGCAGTCTTTTTCAATTTAGAGGACAATTCATTAAGGGTGTAATTCTTTTTTTAATTATTGTTTTATATACTGGCTATTGTTATTATATCTGTTTTGTCACCTTTTACCTATTTTCTTTTTTGTTTTCCTTTCGTTTTATTTAATTTTTCTTTCGAAATTGGTTTTTTTTTCTCTCTCTTCGTTGCGAGCTAAATTCTAATCTAAAGGAAATTACAAAAGTGTGTCGATTGTTATTCATAAGTTAGTAATTGAATTTTAAGCATCACAAATCATTTTAATGTGAACACTATTCTTGCTATTACATCATGTACTTTCCAAGGTGAGACCGGGAGGGTAGAGCTCTCATGAACATATTCTGACCATATTCATAGTCTTTGTCTAACCATTACATTTCATTTTGTTTCATGCTATTGATAAAAGCTGAAGCCATTAGTTGTTTCTTTGAATTATAGAATTTCTGCATTTTTTACCTTGGCTTTATAATTTACTTGCATGTTAATAATACGACAGCTTATAATTTTTTCCCAGGGAAAAATCAATGAAACATCACAGAAAAGCAAAAAAAGATAAGAACTTAGAATGTCTTTTCCTTATGTACCGTATAAAACAATATGTATGTTAGAGTAAGCAAATATTTACTAATAATTTCAAAAGTTATAATATTATGGCATATAAATTTAGGGAAATAAAGAAAACAAGAAACTAGAAAAAGAAAAAAGCTGAGAGAAAATAAATAAATAAATGAAGTGTATGTGTAGTCAGGATTCTACCTCGTCAAAATCATCTCCCCATTACGCCACCTAATTTTTTCATTCGTGAAAATGGAAGTCATTGTTGTTAACGTCTACGTCATTTGGTCTCTCATGGAAAGTTTTCTCATTGGCAATCTTACCACATCTTATTTTTATATTGCAAGAATGACGCGCTGTCAATTTAGCTCATGAAAAACGGCAAATTTAGCCACATGGCATCAATATGATCCTTACATGACTGTTGTATTTTACAAGACAAATGTATCTTCTAGCTATAAAGCATTATTTAATGTACTTTAAGGCCTTTTGTCAACTTAAAACTATTGTTAGATTGGTTGTGGGGAGGGGGGGTGTCGAAAGTTAAAAAAACAATAAAAAATATATTAATATATTTTTTGGAAGGGCAAATTAAAAGTATTCAGAGGTTGAAGATTTATTACCCTAAATAACACACAGAGATAAGAATGAAATCTTATGGGAGTTATGCACAAACAAAATCAACAAGTAAAATCTGCCGTCAAGGGCTTTAGGTAAAAATTATATTAGTGAACGGTGTCTTTTTAGTACTTTTCATGAATAAAATAATTCATGTGCCTAAAATCTAATTGAAAAATGAGTAAACGAAAATTAAAAAATCCACCTCAAGTTTTAATATTTGTAGTAGTACGAAGCTTTTTTTTGTGATTCTAATTGGGTTTCTGCAACATTAAGTAACTAAATCTGAAAATATGCAGTAAATTTTAGACCAGTTCTGTCAAAGATGGTTATCAGATAAGCAAACTCTTCTTCCAGAGGGAGGTTTTATTCATAAATTCAACACGGATTAGAAAACAAAATCAGTCACAATATACATCAAAATGTCATTGTGTAATTCCAAAACGAAAATGAAGGGATTATTAGACTAGTAAATGTGTTTATGGCATGTACACGTACTGAAAAAAATGTCATGCTTTATTCTATACCTTTAGAATTCTATGATAAGTCTATATATATGCATTCACTATTTGTAATCTGTTATTGTATGTTCGTCATTTTCTTCATGTTTATTGCATTATGTTGTATTGTTTCTTCTTGTAGCATGGTGAATCGTAGATCTTGGCATGGAAAATGAAAACGTAATAACCGGGTAGCACTCGTCTAAACTCCGCCGATTCCGTTCCTCCACCAAATTGATAGAAGGAGAGTAGTGGAATCACCCGAGAATTGCCGAGTGAACCGGGTGGATGGGTGCGTTGAAAATCGTTAGAGGACGTTGAAATGTTTTATGAATTGCACAGTCATTGTGTCAGAAATATCATGTCTCGTCTCTATGACAAATAAATAGCTTACAATTATTTAGTTCCAGCAAGTCGTGAAAATGATAAGTATAGTAGATAAGACATACAGAAAGTCACTGGCACAGGTAAGACGACTTTAACTACGGTTTACAGATACCCTATCATCATTCTTGTTTTTGAGTCAGAGGTCTCGTTAATACAACACGACAAAATGAGAGTATAATATTTACAACAAAACTCAATAACAATGACAAATAGCAAAATAAAAATGCAAAATTTTTGTTTTTGTACTTTAGGCCAGTATCCTACAGTTCTCGCCAGGGCTGCACTAATGTTAATCTGTATAGCATATATTTCGGTTATATTACAAGGTCTTCGTTGTGATTTCACTGTAACTGAGAATGCTAATTGTTTATAAAGTTTCTTCAATTTCTGCATACTTTGTCATACTCTTGGGTAGTTTGTCGCTGTTAATCCGAACCAAATGTCGGTTTACTGGCGATGGTAATCAGGCAGAGAGTTCGATACCTAACGTAGTTGAAATAAAAGTACAGAAGCTACACGTCAACATTAATTACTATTCAAAGTATGCATTACTTAATTCTTGATATGACAATGCAAGGATGTGTTCAACCCCTACATGCCTAGCTTTCTCCATTTTCTTTTTTTTTCTTCTTGTTATTATTTTTTTTTGCCAGAAATTCAGACGAGGCAGTTTCTGCCTCATCAGTAGTTACGGCCCTGATTCCAAAAGCTATATTCAAGGTTCTAGACTACAGGCACTTGTCTCTGAACAAAATTTACCTATATAATTTAATATAACGTGTTATATTAAAGTATATAGGTACTTATTTTCAGAGACAAGGGTCTATGCTTTAGATAGATGTTTGTTTACAATACTTTATTAGATGTGACTGTAATTTCACGAAACATTGTCATCCCTTAAATTATAATATGATAGATAACCTAGATTGTGGTCGAATAAATAGATATTTTTTTATGTTAAAGACGTTATTAAAATTTGATCATCATGCTAATAGTGCATCGTGTTTAGTAGATTCACATATCTAATTACACATGATCACACAGAATAGATAGCCTTATTTTCGGGTGAAAACTATTATATTTCTTCCAAATATAACTCTTCAATCAATGTTAGCACGTTATCCGAATGGACGCTATTGATTATTAGTTCATAAGAAAACGTTCTGGGCCCAGTTGTTTAACAAGTTAAATACAATACTGTATTATTTGCTTTTAAGTGGACCATTTAAAATAGTAATAATGAAAACAAATAACAATAAAACAGACTTATCATATGTTGTCAACAATTTACTCTAAGTATAACAAACGAAATAAATATCAGGAGAAACAAGTTTATTTGTTTGTTTGTTTTTTGTTTTTTGTTTTTTTTTTGTTCGTTTGTTTGTTTTTTTTTTTTATAGGGGATCCTTAAGCTTAATTTATTTTTGTACCGGCTAAATATGACACAGGAACACACCAATAGTCCTTATACATATACAATATATATACTAAGCTATACCAGAGAGGCATGCATTTTCTTCATAATACAGCAAAGAATTTGAAATATCAAAATAACAAGCTTCAAATAGATATAAGAAGATGTGGTATGAGTGCCAATGAGACAACTCTCCATCTAAGTCACAATTTGTAAAAGTAAACCATTATAGGTCAAAGTACGGCCTTTAAATGCATTTTTCCTAATAAATGATGAAATACAACTGAATATATATATATATTTATTTGAAGGTATACTAGATTAAAAACCATTTCATTGTGATTTTCAATATATTTTTTACCGTAGTAAACAAACTGTTGACTTTTTAACTTAATCACAAGAAGAGTTACTTTATTATTCAGCTATCCAACCGGGTTATGGTTGCATGAAAAAAGGCGCTGAGCAGACGCAGTGGCTGTTTGAGACCAACTGAGAGTATGATTAAAATTTGCCAGTAATCTTAAGGATTTATAGACTACACAATTAAGCAAAAGGCTTAATGTTTTTTTTTTCAATATTGATTCAATTTGTTTTTTCAGATGTTTGGACTGTTGTTTTTGTTACCAGTGTTGGTATACTCAGGTATGTTCCAGTAAGATATAGAAAACGTACATGTGATAGAAAAACAAAGGATATGGGGTATCCATCCATGACACAAAATTAGTACATGCACAGCAAAAAATACACAAAAAGCAAAGAAACCGCGCTTTTATTGTTGTTCTTCATCTCAAAGTCACAGTAAGGTCTTCAACGCGGAGCAAAAAACTCTCACCTCACTGCAAGTTTAAGAAGGCCCTTATCACCAGCTTGAGCGGAAGTCTTTGCAAGAAATAATTCGGGTGGACTTTGTGAGTCTGTTTGACAATGGTAAATTCCAGTAAACTTCCCTTCCACAGGAATAGTTTGCACTATTAAGATTTTTGGGGAGGAATAGATAAATATATTTATGCCCCTCCGTATGAACCGCAATAATACACAACTTCACTAACAGGGAAACTTCAAGTTTGGTTGGTTTCTGTTAATTGGTCAAAGATGAGTTGCCTATCTGAGCTATATGCTCACCTCTTAACCACATGGTAAATAATTGGTCTATGAAAAAGTCTCCAAAAACTCAATGCAATCAAATATTAAAATAAGAAGGTGCACAAATTTACTCTCAAATATTGACTTTGTGAAATGTTTAGTGGCTTCTTATACATACACTATGACCATATAAACCTCAATTCAATCTCAAAATGCTGCATTTTGACTTAAAACTAGGTTTTTTTATTATACTGAACATAAACAGAACCCTTCGATGTAGCGTGATTGCCTCGTGTCAGTCTAATTAAAATGCGGATCATCTAGACTCTCTTATTCGTCGAAGTTAAATCATAGCCCAATAACAGATTTTATTTTATTTTATTGAATTGGTCTCGAGCGCGGGATTTTTTCAAGTTATTATTTGCTGCTCTCCGCTTAGCACTAGGACATTTATAAGTAAAAGCAAAGATGGGTCAGTTCGATAGCAGAATCATTTGACAGAGTAAGGCGAAATGTTTTTTTTTCTGCAGACTTCTATCATGTGGGCTAGTACATTTAAAAACCGACTATTCATGTCGACCTAATACAAAGCAAAAACATTCACATTACATGAATTATTTTAACATGTTAGGCCTATAGTCTTGATAATGTCTGTGATATTTTCCACAATAGACGTTTACAGCTCTTCTATAAAAGCATGCAAAGCAAACCTTTGATCAACTTGCTTGCTATGTTTGCTTGGATGTTTGCAAACAATAGGTAGGCGGAGTTTCAGTCTGTTTTGTATATACTGGAATTTGATTAGACAATAAAAATTGACATGCAATGAAGTTAATGTTTATTGTCCAATCAAATTCCAGTATATAGTAAACATACTGAAACAGACTACCTACCTTTTGTTTACAAACATCCAAACAAACATAGCAAGCAAGTTGATCAAAGGTTTGCTTTGCATGCTTTTATAGAAAAGCTGTAAAATATAACTGAAATTACAACTTAGACCCCGTTTACACTTGATTGTTAGTGTAAACAGGGTCTAAGAGTGCTTAGACAAATGGAATTCTTTGGAAATTTGTCATCGTTTCTTTAATCTTGGTGGATATTGTCAATTTAGTCGACGAATTATGCATGAATATTAGTGTTTAAACTCCAGCATAGCGCAAATGTTGTGATCTTGTTATATTAAGGTTACTAGTATATTGATATCAAGTGCTATGAAACGGAGATGAGTATCCATAAATAATGCATTCATAATATCGTTTAGAGTGGTGAAATCGGCCCTACCTCCTTTATTTGGAGCACCAATGAAAACAACCGCCTACATAGAGCCCACCACTCTAGCCAAGTCGACCACATACATCTTAAAAAGATAAAGCCTCAATCAAACAGTGTCGTATTCTTTTATCAATTTTTTTTCGATGAAACTAACTATTTTAGCTCACCTGGACCATAGGGCCATATGAGCTTATGCCATCACTTGGCGTCGGTCGTCGTCTGTCGTCGTCGTAAACTATTTCAAGAATCTTCTCCTCTGAAACTACTTGCCAAATACCTTCAAACTTTAACTGAATGTTCCTTTGGGTATCTAGTTTATAAATTGTATCCGAAGTTTTGATCCATCAACAAACATGTTAAAATGTTCAATAAGTCAAGATCTATCAGCCCTTAAATTTTCAGACGAACCGAACAACTCATTGTTGGGTTGCTGCCATTAAAATGATAATTTTAAGGAAATTTTGCAGTTTTTGGGTTATTATCTTGAATATTATTGAAGATAAAGATAAACTGTAAACAGCAAAAATGTTCAACAAAGTAGGATCTACAAAAAAGTTAATATGACCAAAATTGTCAATTGACCCCTCAAGGAGTTATTGCCCTTTAAAGACAATTTTACACAATTTGTTCATCTTGTATGCTAACATTTAAAAATCTTCTCCTCAGAAACTGCTAGACCTAATACTTCTAAACTTTAACTGAATATTCCTTAGAGTAACTGGTTTGTAAATTGTATCCGAAATTTTGATCCATCAACAAACATGGCCGCCATGGCTAAAAATAGAACATAGGGGTCAAATGCAGTTTTTGGCTTTTATCTCAAAAACTATAGCAGTATAGCAGTTAGAGCAAAAGTGACATGGACTTAAGTGATGAATAAGTCAAAATCTATCTGCTATGAAATTTTAGACCAATTGGACCACCCATTGTAGGGTTACTGTCCGACATAGTTTATTTTTATGAAATTTTACTGTTTTTGGTTATTATCTTTAATATTATAATAGATAGAGAGAAAGTGTAAATAGCAAAAATGTTCAGCTAAGTAGGATCTACAAATAAGTCAAATGATCAAAATAGTCAATTGATTTATTGCCCTTGAAAAGTTTATTTTTTACATTTTTTCGTGCAAGTCTATTACTTTTTCAAAAATCTTCTTCTCTGAAACTACTTGGCCAAGCACTTCCAAACTTTAAAAGGATGTTCCTTAGTGTATCTAGTTTATAAATTGTAGCCGAAGTTTTGATCCACCAATAAACATGGCTGCCATGGCTGAAAATAGAACATAGGGGTCAAAAGCAGTTTTTGGCTTACATTTCAAAAACTACAGCAGTTAGAGCAAAAGTGAAAGGGAGTTTAAAGTGATAAATGGGTCATGATCTATATGTTATAAAATTTTCAGACAAGTTCGACAACCCATTGTTGGGAAAAGTTTATTTCTATTGAAGTTTACTGTTTTCGGTTATTTTCTTTAATATTATAATAGGTAGAGAGAAAGTATAAATGTTCAGCTAAGTAAGATCTACAAATAAGTCAACACGATCAAAATAGTCAATTGACCCCTTATGGAGTTATTGCCCTTAAAACGGTTTTTTTTTATACATTTTTTGTGAAAGTCATATTACTTTTTCGAAAATCTTCTTCTCTGAAAATGCTTGGCCAAATACTTAAAATCTTTAATTTGATGTTCTTTAGGGTATCTAGTTTATAGATTGTATTCGGGGATTTGATCCATTCAAAAACATGGCGGCAGTTTCTAAAAATAGAATATAGGGGTCAAATGAAGTTTTTGGCTTTCATCAAAAACTAAAGCAGTAAGAGCAAAACTGACACAGGTGAAAGTGTTAAACAGGTTTAGATCTACCTGTCAAGTAATCTTCAGACCAATTGGAAACTTATTGTTGGGTTACTGTCCAGAAATAGTTAATTTTTAGGAAATTTTAGTTTTGGGTTATGTATTACTAGTATCTTTAATATTATTATAGAAAGAGATAAAGTGTAAATAACAAAATTGTTCAGCAAAGTAAGATCTACAAATAAGTCAATTGCCTGATACTGAAATTACAGGTGAGCGATATCAGGCTCTCATGAGCCTCTTGTTTTACTTCCCTTCTGAAATAAAATTTGATTAAAAAACATACACAAATCCATAAAACTTTAAGCTTTATTCAAAGAATCTAATATTTCAATAAATATTTGTATCCCCGGTCGGGCTTGCAAATTTTGTTCTATGAAGGTGAAGGTAAAAAGATAATTCTTTTATATCCTTACAGAAGATTCTACATGGCCTGCCAGGGAGTTCAGGGGTGCCTTTGTAGCAACAGTTGCAAACATTGATTGGCCATCTTCGCGACATTTAACGACACATCAGCAGAAAAACGAACTAATAAACCTACTTGACAAATTACAAAAACTTAATTTCAATGCAATTGTACTACAAGTTCGTCCGGCTGGTGATGCATTATACAGTTCAAAACTAGAACCATGGAGTTACTATTTAACGGGAGAACAAGGAAAACCTCCGTCTCCGTTTTACGATCCACTTGAATTTGCCATTACTGAAGCTCACAAAAGAAACATTGAAGTCCATGCTTGGTTTAATCCGTACAGAGCGCGATCAGGAAGTACTTCTAGTGTTGGATTAGCACAAAATCATGTTGCTCATATCTATCCACAGTACGTGTATAAGTATGGCCATGATTTATGGATGGATCCAGGTGCCAGCGTCATTCAGGATCACGCTGTTAAAGTCTTCCTTGATGTGGTCACCAGATATGATATTGATGGGGTTCACATAGATGATTACTTCTATCCTTACCCAGTTTCAGGCACAGACTTTCCGGACTCTCATACTTATTCATCATACAAAACAAATGGTGGTAACTTGGGACTTTCTGACTGGCGGCGTAACAATATCAATACTTTAATACAAAATTTATCGACGCGTATCAAAACTATCAAACCTTATGTCAAGTTCGGTATTAGCCCTTTTGGTATATGGCAACCCGGTTACCCTCATGGCATACATGGATTCAATTCATTTACATCATTGTATGCTGATTCGAGAAAATGGTTTAAAGAAGGATGGCTTGACTATCTTGCACCACAACTGTATTGGCAAATAGACCCTCCTGCCCAAAGCTATCCTGCACTTTTGGATTGGTGGCTAGAACAAAACACACATCAACATCATGTTTACATATCAAATTATGCATCCGCTGTATTTACAAAACACTGGTCTACGCATGAGCTGGAAAGGCAGGTAGAAATATCTCGTTCAAAAGATAGCAGGAAAAGTTATGGAAATATCCATTTTAGTGCAAAAGTTTTCGTTGAGAATATGCACGGGATGAGTGACGTTTTTCATACAAAGGTATATACCTCACCAGCTCTGACACCCGAAATGTCATGGCTTTCCTGCCCTAACCCACCTAAACCGTCAAATGTTAAAACACATGGATATAATGTTTCTTGGACCCCAGAAACAAGTGGTCATGTAAGATCGTACGCAATTTTCCATTTCATAGCGGAAGTTTTTGGTCTTGTTACTGTGCTGCCTAAAGATTCTTCATCATTCACCGTTACTGAAATTGGAAGTTATGTTATTGTTTCAGTAAATAGGATCGGAATTCAGAGCCTGGAAGAAAGCTTTACAATTGGGCTTAGTACCTCTTCGGTTATCGGTTAAAACTTTGCATAAAATTTAATTTTGCCCATAGTTCTCTATTTTGCAAACCCCTTTCTGACCCACTTTTATATACTTCAGGATTTTCATGACAATTGCCCATTTTATCATATGATATGAAAACAGAGTTTAATGATTTATTTTGACAGAAAGGATGAGAGAGGTCACCAAAACCAATCACAAAACACGATGGAAATGTAATGTTCGTATAATAATATCACTGAAAGCAACAAGAAAAAAAATTACTAGTACACAATGACTAAAGGTTCTATTTTTCTAATACAGGATTTTAAAATCAAAACGCTATCACCACTGTACTGAACGAGCTGGTGTAGTTTCAAAAATTCACCATACAAATAAAAGGAGGATAACACAATTGACTATAGTCAAGTAGTTTCATGTTGTTCGCTATTTCATATAAAAGTTAATTTGAGCTTATGCTATTACATATGTAACACGCATAATATATAGTTTGTTTGGTGTTGATAGTAGATGTTTAATTTGAAAGTCTCTGTTTAATCTATTTAAAACTTTCTACAATTTGGATGATTTGGAGCCTAATTTATTGTTTTGGCACTTTTCTATTGTTGAAGATCTCATGCTGACCACTAGATATTGTTTTGGCACTTTTCTATTGTTGAAGATCTCCTGCTGACCACTAGATATTGTTTTGGCACTTTTCTATTGTTGAAGATCGCATGCTGACCACTAGATATTGTTTTGGCACTTTTCTATTGTTGAAGATCTCATGCTGACCACTAGATATTGTTTTGCTATGTGTGCGTCGTTGGGTTCCCATCTCATTGACATAGTCTATTTTCATGTGTTTTAGATAGATCTGTGTTAAACTGACACCCATTTTTGATAGATTTTTTGGTCACCAAAGGTGGTGTAACATGAGGAGCATCCCTGCTTAAAATTTACATTGTTTAAATAATCCAATTTATGTATCTTTTACATTTTGCAAAATAAATATATATTTAATATTCATAAAATATTTGGCTTTGCAATCTTGGATTGATGACTAGAATCTTTTGAAATCTTCTTCGTAAACGAGATTCTTTTTGTCTGTTTTACTCCAAGAACTAAGGATTATATTTTTTTCATTTATATCCAGATGCCGAGATTCAATTATAGTAACAATGGTCATATCGTATAGTCAACAAGGTCAAACAACATAGGATTATCATTCGATAGTATTATATCAATTAGAAATCGTATATCAAGATCTACAATAGACAACGACGATTACTATAAACGTTAGATATCGGTAAGAATGAGATTAGGCGATCCATAATTATAAGTAATGTGATGATTCAAACATTTAAAATAAAACTATATCTTGAAATACGATTTCTAATTGGTATAAGATTATCTAATGAAAATCCTCATAACAAAATGTAAGACAAACGGAACATTTTGTCCTTCCTTGTTGCTATTTATTTTTTCTTGGTGATACTAGTATTCCGCTGTCTCCTTATGGGGTGCACATTTCTTATTGTGTTTTGTTCCGTTGGCTCCTTTTGGGGTGTACATTTCTTATTGTGTTCTGATCCGATGGCTCCTTATGGGATGCACATTTCTTATCGTTTTCTGTTTCGTTGGCACCTCCTTATTGGGTGTACATTTCTTATTGTCTTTTGTTCCGTTGGCTCCTTATGGGGTGTATGTGTTCTGTTCCGTTGAATTGGCTCCTTATTGGGTGTACATTGCTTATTGTGTTCTGTTCCGTTGGCTCCTTCTTAAAGTGTGTACATTTCACATTGTGTTCTGTTCCATTGGCTCCTTATGGGATGTACATTTCTTATTGTGTTCTGTTCCGCTGACTTTTCCTGATGGGGTGTACATTTCTTATTGTGTTCTGTCCAGAAGGCTCCTTATGGGGTGTATATTTCTTATTGAGTTCTGTTCTGTTTGCTCCTCCTTATGGGGTGCACATTTCTTATTGCGTTCTGTCCAGAAGGCTCCGTATGGGGTGCACATTTCTTATTGTGTTCTGCCCCGAAGGCTCCTTATGGGGTGTATATTTCTTATTGAGTTCTGTTCCGTTGGCACCTTCTAATGGGATGTACATTTCTTAATGCGTTCTGTTCACTTAACTCCTTATGCGATGTACATTTCTTATTTTGTTCTTTATGCGCGTGTTTCCATCGACGTCTGAGATTTCAATGACCGTAATATTTTCATAACCTTTACAAGAGGGATATCACATATATAGACCTTATCGTGAAGGAATGATTCCACCATTTCTGATTAAATAGACTTACTGGAAACGGTTTTAATTATACCGTTTGCAATCATTGTGTCTAATATTGATTTCAATGATTATCAATTTCAATTCGCATATTTATAGTTCGAAAAGAATGAAATATGTCTTTTATGTTTTTACTGCATTGCAATGTTGTGCATTTGATCAAGATTTTGTATTCCTTGGTTACTGGTTCTGGCGTTGCTGCCTGAAATCATTTTGTTAAATACAGCCATCTATATTGAAGTGTAGGAACGGCATGATTTTATATCAGCAGGTTACGTGCTATGAGCTTGCTTTCAATAACTGCGAGCATTTGTTAAGCGGCAGTGTTTTTAGTTTTTTGTAATTTGATAAACATGACAGACTTAACTTTGATCACGTTTGATTCTCCTTGTTAAATCAAATCAATTCATATCTTTCCTAAACAGGAGACGATTAAGAGCTGACATTGTCTATTGCTGTTGACCGTATATTGACCTCTAGATACCTTTTATCAATAAGTATTCTCATGTTGCCTGACTTTACATATTAAGAATCGTTAAACTTGCGTTAACCCTGTTGTACTTGTGATATTCTAAAGAATTCAAATGAATTGTTAATATGACTGACCTGATCAAACCAGTTTCATATATTTGTCTCTGTTGAAATAGTGTGTTATTGATAGTTTTTACAATGTATACAGTATAGCAGAGCACTGTACTACAGTGTACACAGTACAGCAGAGAACTGTACTACAATGTACACAGTACAGCAGAGAGGCACATTTCTTATTGTGTTCTGTTCAGAAGGCTCCTTATGGGGTGCACATTTCTTATTGTGTTCTGTCCCGAAGGCTCCTTATGGGGTGTATATTTTCTTATTGAGTTCTGTTCCGTTGGCTCCTTCTAATGGGATGTACATTTCTTAATGCGTTCTGTTCACTTAACTCCTTATGCGATGTACATTTCTTATTTTGTTCTTTATGCGCGTGTTTCCATCGACGTCTGAGATTTCAATGACCGTAATATTTTCATAACCTTTACAAGAGGGATATCACATATATAGATCTTATCGTGAAGGAATGATTCCACCATTTCTGATTAAATAGACTTACTGGAAACGGTTTTAATTATACCGTTTGCAATCATTGTGTCTAATATTGATTTCAATGATTATCAATTTCAATTCGCATATTTATAGTTCGAAAAGAATTAAATATGTCTTTTATGTTTTTACTGCATTGCAATGTTGTGCATTTGATCAAGATTTTGTATTCCTTGGTTACTGGTTCTGGCGTTGCTGCCTGAAATCATTTTGTTAAATACAGCCATCTATATTGAAGTGTAGGAACGGCATGATTTTATATCAGCAGGTTACGTGCTATGAGCTTGCTTTCAATAACTGCGAGCATTTGTTAAGCGGCAGTGTTTTTAGTTTTTTGTAATTTGATAAACATGACAGAATTAACTTTGATCACGTTTGATTCTCCTTGTTAAATCAAATCAATTCATATCTTTCCTAAACTGGAGACGATTAAGAGCTGACATTGTCTATTGCTGTTGACCGTATATTGACCTCTAGATACCTTTTATCAATAAGTATTCTCATGTTGCCTGACTTTACATATTAAGAATCGTTAAACTTGCGTTAACCCTGTTGTACTTGTGATATTCTAAAGAATTCAAATGAATTGTTAATATGACTGACCTGATCAAAACAGTTTCATATATTAACACTGGACACTTTTAATTTGCAAAACACTCATTTGCAAATCCGCCGCCGCCTCTCCTTAGACCTACAGTGTCGTGTAAATAACCAAAATGTGCGGAATTACATGGGATTCAATAATTTCATTGCTTTTCTGCTGTTATTATTATATATATTTTGTAATTTGATTTAGAAAAACATGGGATTTTCAATATCCCATGGGATAAGGCAAATCCCATGGGATTGACCATTATCCCATGGGATTTTGGTTAAATCCCATGGGATTTTTTTGGGTCCCATGGGATAATTGTAGTCCCATGGGATATTTGTTGTCCCATGGGACAAAAAAAATCCCATGGGACTATAATTATCCCATGGGATTTTTAATATCCCATGGGACAAAATAAAATCCTATGATTCAAATTATAAATATACAGTAAATAAATGTGTATGTTACAATGAATTCTGTTTGGTAGTAAATTGTTTTAAGATGAATCTTTTTATTTGAATATCTTTTTTGTTCCTTGGAAATGTTAATGCAATTATATTGTTCTATAACTGTTCAAAACTAAACTTTTAAACAACAAAGCAGATAATGTAAGTATCAATATATGTTTATTTATGAATTCTAGAACACTTTTTTGAAACACAATTTTTTCCCATTTGAAATCAATGAAAACTCTATTAATATGCTTAACATACTAGTAGCTTTTTACATAAATCTATTTTTTTTTCAGGATATTCCTCCACCCAAAAAATTAATAGTTTCTTATCATCCAGCATTGTGTGATCGTAATGTATAGTCCACTTTTTTGCCATTCAGCACAGAACATTGTCATTATTGTGGTTTTAATATCTTTAGATATTTAATAGAACTGCAATTCATTGGCTGAGTGATGAAAATAATAACTGATCTGACTTTTGTCTTTGAATTCATTTTGGTCTTGTTTCTGTGTTTTCTCCTTCTATTCTCCAATCCTTCTGAAAAAGAACCAATAAAATCCGAAGTTATGGATAATAAAAAATTGTATACATACATGTAGCAAGAACATATGATTTTCAATAAAAATAGCTATGCGGTATGGATTTTACTGATTGTTGAAGGTTGTCCAGTGTCATCAGTTGCTAACCTCCTACATCCTTTGGTCTCTGATGGAGAGTTGTCAAATTAGCACTATACCACATCTTCCTATTCTATTATTATATAACAATCAATTTATGTTTTCTTCTTTATAACATTTGGGTATTTTCCCCAGTTATATATATATAGATCAATGTAAATACTTTAGGCAATTACAATAAAATTCCATTTTTCACAAGAATTTGCAATATATTATACAGAAAGCCAACAATAGAAACAGCACTTCTTTAAGCATCTGAAGTTCTGAAGTTCTGAAAGAGTTCCACTTGTGTTATATTTCAATTAGAAAATACATTGAACTCTTTGGACATGATGGAAATTATAACATTGATACAAAAAATTATATTGGTTTTTTTTTCTTATTTTTGTGTTGTTCGGTTGCTGTCTCATTTTTATATATGGTTATACATATATCATGTATATCCTAAATCTTCTTTTTTATATACTTAATCATTAATACACAATGTAGTAAAAATGGGATATTTTTTATTTTGATAAACTCAAAACATTATTATTCTATCAAATAACTTATTTCCAAGTTCACAAAACACCAATGTGTCAGATATTAATTTTAAGACATGTATAAACATGATCAACAAGCAGTTGACAGGATGTCATGCAAAAATCTCACTAATATTAAACTTTCACAAAAACTCCATAATCAGCGAGTACTATTAAAGTTCTTAGTACAGGACAAATTCCTAGTACAGGACACAATGCCTGGCAAACACTAGCATGTGTCAATGTCTAGTCAATCATGTAATCAGGCTCAAAATCTTAAGTTTGGCACTGAATTTAAAAATTCACCACATAATGAACATGTGCATGAAATTCAACTTCATGGTAAGCTA